GCTCCTCTTGGCGATTTGGCTCTTGGATATGAAGACAAGAGAAAGAAAAATACTTCAGACAAGCATTGGAAAAGCCCAAAATTAATAGATACTTGAGCAGATTTAATAACTGACTGTATTTTAAATTATCTTAATTTTGAATCATATATACAAGGTGGATTAAAAAAATGGAATAATTTTTCAAAGTAGATTGGAACGGGTAGTTTAAATTACAGGTTGTGTGCAATAATGCAGGCCTGCAGGCTAGGTTCCATGCAGTCTGACTCTCTTTGCTGCCTAACCCTAGGAAAGTTCTGTAATGGATATTAAAGACTAAATGATGAAAACGTAGCAGCAGTAGAAGTAGGGTTTCCTAGATAGTATGGCTTTATGTCATGATTCAAAAGCACAGAATATAAGCCTTGGGATGAAGCTCAGGCTTTTTAAATAGGGCTTTTACTGAAATTGTGAGGTTTAGAGCAGTGTTTGTGGACTTTAAAGTTTGGTTATTGAATTATGTTTCAAAGAGCATGTTATGGGAGGATGGTTTTAGTAAATATACTTCCAAAGTAAATACCACAAGGCTTTTACAAGAAGTACGGTTCTAAGAAAAACTGACAAGAGTTTTATAAACACCATTAGTTTTAATACAAACTGATTTGCATGATGATGTTCCATTTACACAGCAAGTGACAGAAATCATGAATGTTTGCAATCACTGCTGCATACATAAACCTGCATTCCTGTTGCTGCTGCTTCTTGGACTGTCTCGGACCTGATGGATCCACTGATGTGTATTTGTATTTGATCGCAGCAGTAGGAATGATTGCAGGGCAGCAGTTGTGGGTAACGAGGCTAGTCCAGTGCTACAGTACATCCTGGAGTTAGTCCCATACTTGAAGTGTCATTTTACATCTGTGTGTGCTGACAAGCACTGGAGGTTAGTGTTCTCAAATACTCGTTAGACTCTAGTAGGATGATCACAGTAAAAATGGCAGTGGCAGCTGAGGATATCTTCCTCTTATGCTCTACTGCCTCTTCCCAGAAATGACAGCTCTCATGTGGTGTTTGATAGACGAGCAGATTATATGAATGCTGCAAAGCTTCTTCAGTGCAAAGTCAGATGAGTTGGCTGAGACCTCCTTCAGCAGTGGTTTACTGTAGCTGATGCTGTCTCATGCAGGTGGAGTTCTGGTGTTAAGCTGTGTTGCTGGCTGAGCTGTAGGAATGCTACGTCCATCAGGAAGGCAGTAACCAACAACATCATGTTGCTGGTGAAAGCTGCCATACGTTGAGGCACTGTTTCTGTGGTGACCATCTTATCAGTAGCTGTGGTCTAAGGTCTGCAGCTATGACTACTGCTGTAGGAGTGTGTTTCTCTGTTACTATTTTGTGGAGAAAGAAAGTTGTATATGCATAGAGCTGAAGAATAACAGTGAAGCAAAGCTGAAAACCTTGTTTTATAGTTGTCTTTTTAGGCTAGCTCTGTGAAAATCCCTGATATAGCTGGTTGGGTGAGGTTGCTCCAGAACTAAGCAATTGGTGGGACACTTAAGACGTTTTTGCTTTAAGTTGCATGCTGTTGTGCAGCCAGTGTCAGAGCCAAATTTTGAAAATTCTAACTAATCCTCTATTATGTAGGTACAGGTATTTTCAAAGTATGTAGACTCCCACCTCTTCCAAGGGCTTTGAGCATTCCTACATCTCATTTTTCTAGCTTGTAAAACAGATGATGCTTCCATTAGATGGATGTCAGAAGGAAGGATGATACTTAATTTTTTTCTCAATATTATATAAATACAATAGTCTGTAAGCTCAAATCATTATTTTCTGGGCTCCAGGACCGAAAGGATTTTAAGCTATATGTTGTATGAAACAAATCAAGATCTGCTGCTTTGTGTAGTCTACTTCTGCCCTTTAATCAAGAACAAGACAGACAGACCTGACTAATATATACATAGTACCCATCTGAAGAGCCAGCAAAATTCACTGCAGCAGACTTGCCAGCAGATACTTGTTTAAACTCAGCTAAATCTGTGTGAAGATTTGGATGATTATTTTGCATTCGTCTAACCCCTTCCTGTTTTTCATGCAGCAGAGCAATGTAAATAATCAAAACTAACCCAAGGAGACAATATTCCCATTAATTTGAGTGGGCCTGGAAGTTTGTGCTTGTGCTACTGATTTCTGACTGCTTGAAAGAAAATACCTTTAAGCGCAGACAGCAGTTTGAGTTGTGTGGTTGTAAATCTGCTTTATTATTTTTAAGGAGAAAAATGTACAGTAAAATCAACCAGTAGCCCAGTCCCTTGTGTGTCTGTCCCTTTCCAGCTTTCCCATGCATGAGCCTATGCTGGCATTTTGTTCTGATCAGAAAAGTGCTTTGATTCATGTTGAAAAGCAGTCTCAGAGGTTGCAAACTACACTCCTCGTGCGTGAAACTTAACTGGAGAACATAGCACAGCCACTGGTGGTGTCTACTCCCAGAGTTAGTCTGAAGTAAATCCCCAAGAGGCAGATGGTGAGGATGACAGACCCTCCACACGACCATGCTGCTCGACAGACCTGCCCCCAGTTCACCACAGTACTTGTGGTATGGAAGAAGCTGTGCCGTGTGGATGCCTATTGCGTTCTTGCCCAGGCATACAATTCTCCTGGTGAGTTTTGATGAGTCAGGTTGTTCTTTACTGTCAGCTTGGTTGTGATCAGATTTGCTGATTGACCTCAGCACTGAATAAAAATGCAGGAAACAGTGGAGTGACCTGGAAAGCTCCAAGCAGGATACAGTCATAAGGGAATCAGTTGTATGTTGTTGTACTCCCAACAGAAGAAACAATTAACAAAAGTGTATGGCAGAAAGGTCGTTTCACTTCAGTCTGTGTGTTCCCTTTAGTGTAGTCTGAGCTTTTGATGTGATTGGGTATTAAAGTCATTACAGAAGGTCATCAAATTTGGCAAAGACAGGTGTTAGACTTGAGGAAATGACTCTGAAACCTAGAGTTAGTGCAGTTAATGAAAACAGTTTCAGAAGATGTGAACTATCAGCAATTAGAAAGGCATGTGAGCAGGGATGGACTATTGTTCTGTGAAGGTTTCTTTGCTCTTTGAAGCAGCTAGTATTAGATGAATCATGGACCTGCTGCACTCTGGCTGTTCATACCTTCCTCAATGGCTAGAAATCTCCATAGATGGGTACTTGATCATGCAAGTGGGCATGATCA